TCTCTCTCTCTCTCTCTCTCTCTCTCTCTCTCTCTCTCTCTCTCTCTGAAAATGGTCTACAAAACAGTGTATGTACACCTACACATATCGTCACAATGACGCACTCAAAACAAATAACTATAGACTGCAGGGCAAAAATATGTAACACTGTTGCAGTACAAGCTGAGTTTCAGCTGTGCTTATTAACTTTCTGTATGACTACAGTACAGATTTGTTTCCTTTAGGTTGAGCCACTCTAATTTCTACACAGCTGAAGTGTTTCTGTTACTGTTGAAATACAACCTGATGCGTCCTGTATAGTATGTTTGTTTTTACCCATGGACCTCTGCTCTACAGGGACCCCATTCAAACTGTCAAACTGGACACGAGTATATTTCGTACTCCGCTGAGTGCCCAGCTGGGGCTTTGTGTCATTTTTACCCTGAGAAATGAATCTGGGTGGTGGTGCCGCTGCGGTTCAGGGAGATTACAGGCCAGTCTGAGCTCCAGACCATGGGAGGAGACCTGCTGCACCGCGAGCTATAGAAAGCCTGCAAACCACAGGCCTGTCATCTGAGTCCTACTCACTGCCTGTTTTCATTCAGAGAGGACCGGTGTCTGTCAGAGCGCCCTCATCCTGATCCACTTTGGACCGGTTTGAGCAAACTTTTTTCATCGCAAGCGCTCCTGCCTGAGAAGATTTAGTCTTTCTCTGCTGTCGGAGGGTAAAAAACATGCCTTTCTATGAGCCATCTGCAGTTTGAAGAAGTATTCCAATCCTTTACTAGTAGCTGTAGAAATACCACAGTGTAGAATATACTCTGATGCAAGTTAAAGTCTAATTCACAGTTTTACTTCAATTAAATAACAGAAGTATTTGTAACAAAGTGTAGTTTAAGGCGCCTGGTGGAGTTGTTAACAAATACAATGAGGTGTACATTCTCATAAAAACATCGCTCCATAGCGCTACTACTACTCAACAGTTCAAAGAGAAAACTTTTTAAGTTTTAAAAGCCACATAAGCCTACTTATGTGTCAACAGCATCATATATTTTTTAAAGATTATTGTATATTTTCCACGTAAAATCTTGATTTTTAAAGTAATTCAGTGCAGTTGTTGAAGTACAAGTACCTCAGGATTGTACATAAGTACAGTACTTGAGTAAATGTACTTAGTTACATTCCTACACTGAGTCATTAACATTTCATTGGGACCAAGATGCACTTTATCTTCTTATGTGCATGCCAGCTGAGTCGCTGTAACTTGTTGTTTCAGATGACGTTGGAGTGCCTTCGTTCCCTCCATCGTCATTTTAGCTGGCACCCCCAACCCACAACCTCCTTCAGCACCCCTGGGAGTCCCCAGCACCCCGGTTTGGCAAGCACCCATGTGGGATGTGTCGACTGACCCTAAATCCCATTGAGATGCGGGCTATTATGCAACACTCAGAGCTGCTCGTGAATGACAATTACGTACTCGAAACTCAATAAGGCGAGGTGGAGGGAGACACAACTGCACATTCGTGGAGATTGAACTCGAGGTGCACTTTGACTGTATCACAGAAAACTGAATGTGTTCACTTTCACCAGCCCAAGTGACTGACTGAACAGATTTGTCCAACTTTTAAGATGTTACAGTTCATCTTAGAAATAAAAAACAAAGATCACTGAGGAAACTGTTGATTGTAACATATTTAAATATCAAGAAAGAAATGTTTATTTAAAGTCACATGTCCGCCAGTCAGATACAGAACTATCATTTTATGCCATGAGAGAAACAGTGCGTACATGACCTTCCTCAAAGGTGTAGTTGGGTCAATAAAATACTAAACATCTGGCTTGACAAGAGGTTTGAGTCCAGAGGGGACGAGCACCTCACATGAAAACACCGACAGGGAGACTCACCAGCGCCCGCTGAATGCAGAAGAATCTCCCGGGGATGAAACGTTGATGAGAAAGAGAGAGAAAAGGCAAAAAGTTGCCAGGTCCGCTGATTTTAAAAATGATGCGTCTGACCTTCCCAGACGCAGATGCGGACGCAGAGCACCGCTGGATGGAAGGAGGGGATATCAACAGCTGGATGGACGGACGCCGTGCGGACAGACCGAGCAGCTGCTCTGACTGGGATGAATATGCGGAGCTGCTGGAGTTCCCGCCGCTCTGCTGCCTCTGACCGGACTGCTGCCTGCATGCCGCCGCATCTACACACCGAGGGGGGACAGCGCCCTCTAGTGGCAGCAAGCGACAGCGCAAGCTCCGGGCTTCTAAAGAGCAAATCCACCCATTTAAACGTCTCGTTGTACTTAATTGCAATTATGTAAGGTCTCTTTTTTTAGACGAAAATGCCACATCACCATTTGTTTCAGTGAAGGTAAAAACGTTGATGTTTCATGAACTCTGAACCATCATTAAAGGAAGAGAAGTCATGATGTTTTTTATTAGGCAGTCACATGTCGCTCTTTTCTAAAGCTGAAAAGGAATTTGACTACTTTTATGCTTCCACTCCATCACGAAAGTGAATTGGTAATTAGGTAAATTACCTTGTGAACTAATCAGATGTTTATGCTCTTATAAATGTGATTTAAAGTTTGGCTTTGTCCTCATCTTTCCAGTGCAACCTGTGCACTTTTTCAGTTGATAAGGCAAACTGAACTTAATTACGAGATAACAATCCTTCACACAACCTAGGCCTATTGGAACTTACAGTTAAAAGCTATCTATTAAAGTGATCGTGATGTAATGTCCTTAGTCCCTTGGTTAGGAGGTAGAAGATGGTTGAGTACAGACCTGTTTTAGGAGGACTTTATAATATATTGGTCGTGAAGCAATATGCATGATTCGGCTCACCAGGCGCAGCTGCTGCGACACGAACACATCTGCCCGTGTTTTTTTTTTTTTTGCTTGCAAACACTCGTCATTGTGGCACTGAATTGCGCTCGTTACATCATTTCATTTCCTCATCGTCATTTCTGAGACACCAACGCGTGACATTTAAGATGAGTGGAAGTTGATACGAAGTTGACTTCTGCAGAAGTCACTGCGGTGAAGTGCACCCTCCAGTGGGTTTAACAAAGACTGCAGGGAGGGCTTCCTTCCTTCTGAACTGGTCACGCTGGTGTTGGTCTCTACAACTCCAGCTGACGATTCACTTCAAACGTTTTACTTTACTGCAAACTTCCCTCACATTCTCTCTGCATATTCAGTCTCACGGTGAATTAGACAGAAACTATAGAATTCCGCGAGTCGCATGCGCGACATGCATGCGCATGGAGACGCTTTTACGCGCGACTCTAGTGACACAGTGGAGGAGAGAGAGAGCCGTGAAGACTGTCAGCGTGGGAGTGTTGTGCTGCCAGAAGATGATCTTTTACCTAAAAGCTTCTCTTAAAAAATGAATACTAATCATATTTAGTTCTGTGGGTTTGGTTTTCTTTTTCTTTAATTTAAAATCTTTACTTCTGAGTTCGGACGAGGTTTTATCACACAAAGAAAAACATCAATACGAACAACAGATCGTTTATGTGTGATTGACACAATGAGTTAAAGAGTTGAGAAAAGGCATTGACTTTTTCACCATAAAATGCTAGTCACTCCAAGAGAAGAATAATAAATAATATTAATATGCAGCCAGAACTCGATAGAAAACAAACTGTTACACTGATTTAATGCAGCTTTATCTAAAGCCCGCCATGTTTAAAATGTTTAACTATTCCTCTAAGTTAACCCTGTCATGCATTTTATACCTAGGCCTTCACTGCTGTCTTGCAGCTGAAACACCACATAATAACCTCATGATGGCGCAAACTACGGTTATTTGTTTCTAGGAGTTTAATAATACACGTATTCATATTAAACTGTTCGGTACGAGGCTTACAAACCGAACAACACGTTTGAATAATACTAGTGCATTTGGAAAATGCAGAAGCTTAAATTGTGGGAAATATAATGTTTTCGGTGGACTCACGTAGGAGACAACAGGCTTTGTGACCTCTGAACCCGGAACAAAAAAAAAACACAACAAAAGACAGCTGAGGTCCCGCACTTCTGAGAGGCTACGCTAAACTAACTTAACAAACAATAACTCCGCGCATGACGGTATGCTTCGTAAATTAACGGACAATGCATACAGTCCAAATCTATATAATTCACACAATGACAACAACAAACTCACAAGAACCAGTCACATATATTCATATGACAACAAAGCAACAAATCAATCCAGCAGACCTGCAGCGGAACACGCATTCTGCTACACACTCGAGGGCCATTCAGATAGTAGATGTAAAAAAACAAATGCTGTTCACTTAAAGACAAACTCCATCCTCCTTTCTTTGTTGACGAGTTTAATCCCACAAAAAACAAAGCTGGGTAAAAAAGAAAATAAACTACACCAAGCAAAATGCTAAAAATGTCATTTCTTCCATATCTTTCAATTTGAACTCTTACTACTCTGACCAAGCCTCTGATGGCTACTTTAAGTTTCGTTTCACAATAGTCACGTGCTCACCCACTGACCAATCACAGCGCACGCTGCACCTCACTGCAGAGCTGCACCTGGAAACTGAGCTGCACCTTAATGCTGACATACTTGTAGGCCAGCTAGCAGGCTCTGGCACGTCAAAGAATACGCCCAACATGTCAAACTAAAGATCTGATTGGTTGAAGACTATGACAATCAACAATATCGCCCCGGGAACAATATCGCCCCTGGACAGGGATTCACTTGTGAGTCTGCAGGCCTGGGCCTCTGTTCTTACCTAGAGACACAGAGGTGAAATCTGATTGGATAAAAGCTCTACTTAAAACAAGCTGCACTGGAAGCAGAGCAACTGAGGAAGACAGTAGCTGTGCAATGAGAAAATAAGATAATGGGGAAAATATTTTTATAAATTATAATACATGTAGTGTATTGATGAAAAAATATTAAATTATAAAATAGCTATAACTTTGTGATTCTGTTTAGGCCAGCAGAGAAGGCCCTGACGGCCCACCACTGCTATACAGTAAACAGTGAAATAAAGACTGCGTCACGTGACCCGGTCAGAGAATGCCGATAGGTCGGCGCGAGCCAGTTTCTGCCTCTAAGTAGCTAAATTAATTAACCCAAATATTAATGGAAAACGGAATAACAAGCTGCAAAAGAGAATATCTAGACACCACTTTGACAACAAGTACATTCTAATTTACTTGTACATTATGTGTTTACAATGAAAAGCGAATACATATAACCCATACACCTATACAAAAATATGTTACGGTTTACTTGAGAAAGAAATAAACAAATCTATTGCTGGTGAAGATATTTTATTAGGTCACGTCTGTCTG